GGCGTCTGCGAGGGAGAAACGGGCCTGCTCGCTGGGTGACTCTTGCAGGGTGGCCGTCGACTTTCCTCGTTTTCGTAATAGTAGAAGGCGGAAAAGGAGGGTCACACTTCTGCTCATTAGCCCCCCCTTCCCTCCCGCTCCTCGAAGGGCTCCTCTCCTCCATTGGAAACTCCGGGCAGAACCAGCCTTGCAACCTCCGCCCTTTCTAGGCAGATGGTCATCTCAGATCCAGGCAGAGACAAAATCGAGCGTTTGTTAAAGAGAGCACTACACTTGTAGGCAGGCAATCTTTTAAGAAAGCTTTGGATACATTAAAGGACGGCGATCATTTGGGTACTAAATTTGCAGGAGAATAAGGAAACAGGGAATGCATTGATCCCTGGAAAAAGAACAATCGGTATAGTTTTTGTAGTGTCTGTGACAAAAATTAGTGAAAAGCTTCCCTCCCAAAAAACCCTTTTGGCCTAGTGCATGTGTGATTACTTTTTCCAGCATCAGAAAGGCTGCTTTTTCAACTTAGTATTTTCCCAACAAATCTTTATTTTCTTTAAAATATATTTATACTAGCAATAATAGAGAATCTATGACAATGCACTTTTCCGTTTTCACCAGATACACTATGAGTCATGTGATCCACAGAACTATAGTCATCACAGATTTGAAGCGGCTGGATTGAACTCCATTGCTGGAATCAGAAAATAATGTAAATGTAGAGGGTAAAGTCTGTCCATGGATGAGAGAAAAAACAAACAATTCACTAAGTCCCAACACACAAATTTTTGAATGACTATTGTCCAAAATAAAAGTATATTCGAATAAAAAATATTCTAAAAGGCAGACAATATTCGATTTTAAAGTGAAAGGTGCCAGATGGTGGGCATGAAGACAAAAATGATGACATATCACGTATGTTTGTGTCAGATGTCTGGTAACTTTAGTTTAAGATCAGGTTCCTGGAATACAGTTTCCAAAACAGTGTTAAGAAAAGTTAAATCATTCAAAATTATATTTTTAAAATGGACAACGGTTGGAAAACATATTGAATCCTTAGCGTACTAGTTGAGTAGGTATGAACCAACAATAAGTTGCCTTGCAAGAGTCTTGGGATTCCAATTTCCATAGAATAATGTGAGCATACTTGAAATAAATTTGGAGTTTTATTAAAATGTAGTTGGTCTTTATGTCTCAGAACTGATATTCTTCTTCCTTTTATCAGGGAATGCTGCATGCGGCTTGGGAACAATCAAGACTGATGTCCCATCTCACTAAAAAGGTGGTGTGAAAGTTTCATTTGACCAAAGCCAAGATGAGTGATAGAGGTTAGTATCTATAGCCCATTTGATAATGATTATTGCATATGGAAGATTGTAACTGGGAAGGTAAGAAGACTGCATGAATGAATGAACAAAATGGAAAAAGGAGAAAGAAAAGGGGTGTGTACTTTTGTATTCACATAATGCCATGTTGTTGAGAATCCAAATTATTGGTGTGTAATGTTACCTAACATTAGATAGCTGAATGGAGTTGGCATGAACAGTTTGAACTCCTTGGACCTGAGAAATGGACAGGGTTCTTGGGAGTGAGAGCTCAGACACCTGATCTTTAGAATAGAATAGAATAGAATAGAATAGAATAGAATAGAATAGAATAGAATAGAATAG